AGGAGGAGGGTGGCAGGAAGAGGAAGAGGAGGAGGAGGAGGATGGGGGAATAGAGATAAAGGTGCGTGGAGGAGGAAGAGGAGAGGGGGGGGACTTGACAAGGGGGAGGAGGAGGGGTAGGGGGAGAGAGTGGAAGAAAAGTAGGGCCTTCGCCCTGCTTTTCTTCCTCTTTGTCCCCCTACCCCTCCTCCTCCTCCTCGACGTCATCTTCCTCCATTTCGTACTCTTTCAGATGCTGTTTTTGTTTCTTTTTTTTCCCTGTTAAGAAATGTGAGAATTGTCTACCGGGACTCTACCCCATAACCTTCCCCCCCACACGAACGTATTCAAAATTTCGACCCCATGGGGGGTGGTGAAATGCTGTCTTTTTTTTTTCTTTTTCTTTTCCCATGCAAAAATTTGCATTCCCTCCCCCCCCCCCCACCCACCTTCCGCCATGCAATGCTGTGGACCACTGTTTTTTTCTGTGAAGTTTCGTCGACCCTCCCCCCCCAGAGTAATTCGTCCCTGTTCTGCTGCACAGCAACCGAGAGAGAGAGAGAGAGAGAGAGAGAGAGAGAGAGAGAGAGAGAGAGAGAGAGAGAGAGCAGCGCACTTAGAAATGATCTGACACCCCTTGCTTGTTGTTCTGTTGCATTGTTGTCAACTTGTCGCCAGACTCGCCACCAAATTCAGGATGCCTAAAGCAGGTGCAGATGCGATCAAGCGGCACTTTGAGAATGTTGGAGTGCACGGGGAGCCGGGGAAAGGAAACTACATATGGAAATGCCTGTATTGTGAACTGCAGTTCCCTGGGAGCGCAAAGCACTTCACGTCCACGACAAAAGGGCCTAGGTGCAACATCAACAGGCTAGGCAGCAGGCTGTCGGTAGAGGAAAAGGAGAGGAGGGAGTTGGGCCGCCTGGAGGCAATTGCGCTGATGTTGGGAAAGGCTGTGCCTCGGGCACCGTCACATGATTGGCTTTCAGACGTCCAAGGCATGGAAGACGTGGACGTCGAGGACGAGTGCAACAGCCCCCAACCAGCGGAAAACAGAGCCAAGACTAGCCTTTCGACGACAGCCAAGGTGCGACAGAGCACGCTGGAAGAGGGCGGGGCAATCATCTCGAAGAATGAAGAAGCACAACGCTCCATAGATGATTGGTTGGTTTACGAAGGAGTCCGATTCAACATGGTGCGCAGTAAGTATTTCTTGCGCATGCTAAATAAGGTTCGTGATGCAGAGCGGTCCTTCATCCCTGCAAAGTACGACGCGCAGCGGATGAAAAGGTTGGACATGTCACTGGCTCGCGTCGAGGAGGGGGGTTTGCGGCAGCAAAGAAGTTGCCTCGATCAGGATGCATGCTCCAGCTTGATGGCTGGACTGATCGGAGAGGCAGACCGCACTTGAATGTGATGGTCTCCTTTCCGAACGGTGTGCTTTTTTGGAAGTCGCACTGCATGTCAGGTAAGGACAAGGGCGCAGCAGCGTACTTTGATATCTTGTCTGAGTCCATTCGTGAAGTTGGCAAGAAAAGTGTTGTTGGAGTCATCATGGACAACGTTGCAGTGTGTGTGAGAGCCGACAGATTGGTGGAGGATACATTCCCTACAATCTTCGATGTGCCATGTGCTGCACACTGCCTGGACTTAGTGTTGCACGATGTTGGGAAGATGGAGTGGGTGGCTCGAACGGTGGGGAAGGCAAATGACTTGGTGAAGTTCATCATGAACCACCAGCGAGTCAGGGATGTTTACTACATCCACTCGGGTGGGAGACAGCTACTGCGACCTGCATCAACGCGTTTCGCCACCAACTTTCACATGTTGGACCGCTTGAAGAAGCAGCAGAAAGCGTTGGTGGCTATGGTCACAACAGACGAGAGGTGGACAGCGACGTTGGTTCCCCATGGACAGCGATCGACCTTCCACGAGATGGAAGATGTTTTACTTGATGCAGCAGGGTTTTGGAAAGATGTCAACAAGGCAATCAATGCTGTATACGACATTGTTTTGCTGTTGAAGCTGGTGGATGGCAACGGTCCAACCATCAGCAAGGTTTATGCGAAGATGGACAGGATAGTGGAACGCCTGCGAGTCAACAAGGACCTGACGGCAGAGGACCGGGAGGAGATCGAGGTGATGGTCATGCGCAAATGGAATGCTATGACCACCCCCCTCCACTGTCCAGCCCTGTTCTTCGATCCGGAGTACCGGTCGTCTGAGCCGCACAACGATCCAGAGATCCAAGATGGATTCTACACTTGGGTGTACACATGGCTGAAAGGGTCATCGCAGGAGGTGTGCGACCAGGTGGAGTACGAAGTCGATTGTTGGGTTGAAAACATTGGCAAGTTCAGCTCGCAAGGGGCCATGGATGCAGCCCGTAAGCAAAACCCTGCAGCATGGTGAAGCGTTGGTGCTATGAGCTGCAAAACTTGCAGCCCCATGCCATTCGGCTGTTGGGCCAAGGGTCGTCGGCTTCATGTTGCGAAAGGAATTGGAGCCTTTTTGCAGCAATTCACTCCAAAGAGTGGAATGCCTTGGCCCCATAGACAATGCACAAATTGGTGTACACGAAGTGGAATATGCGCCTGCTTCACTCGCTGCAGCAAATTCCGGAGAGGGCAAAAGACCTTGTTGAACGGGACGACCCACCGACGGAGGAGGAGCAAAAGGAGGCTAAAGAAAGAGTGAAATTGGTTGAGCGCCGATTGAAGAGCCTTACCTCGGCTGGTGACGATGTTGTTCCACCTGCTGATGGTGGTGGTGACGAAGATGGGGATGAAGTTGTTGTTCTGTGCCGTGAAGAATGCAACCTCGAGGAGATTGAGGAGGGTCATTGCGAGGACTGGAGTGGATTGACAAAGGCAGGCAACTTCCTCCTCAAGCATTCCCAAACTGAAGTGCGAAGGAGGGCACGCACCTTGGGAGCAGAGGAGCACATGCGTGCTCACAGAAAGGGGGGTGGTGACACACTACCTCGTGGTGCTGCGACGATAGCACCACAGAAGGAGACAGGGACATCGTCGGCACAGCCTGATCCTCAACGCCAAAAAAAAGCTAGAGGCAGGCCAAGAAAAACGCCAGCGACGGATGTGGAGGGTTCAGATGTCGCGACTGCGGAGGGAGAGAACAACCCTGCGCGGACACTCGAGGAAAACCTTGCGCAAACACTTGAAAAGAGTGGAGGAGAGGGGAGCAAGGACAAGGGGGGCAAGGACGAGGGTGTGGCAAGGAAGAGGCCACGTGATGATGAAGAGGAATGTTCATCAGACTACTCATCAGGCGATGATAAGCGGCCATTGGCTGAGAAAAAACGGAACGGGACAGAGAGAGAGAGAGAGAGAGAGAGAGAAAGAGAGAGAGAGAGAGAGAGAGAGAGAGAGAGAGAGAGAGACTGCTGGTTTTGGGGCGGTCATTCATGATTCGTGAATCATGATTCATGAATGACTCTGCAATATCTGCATTCAATTAGTATTTATTGAATTTATTCAGTTCTGAGTCCTCCTCCTCATTCTGTCTCTTGACTCTCTTCTGATTCTTCCGAGTTATAAACACAGTTCAAGTTGTGCAACCTGTGCTACTAACTTGTGTGATTCTGTATGCAGTGTGCACGCTGGCAGTGACAGCACAGTGCCCATTGCTCGCTGAGGTAATGTATGAATGTACCACGACTTTCTTTTTTTTTTACTTTTTTTTTCTTTTTTTCTTTTTTTTTTCGGAAAATATATCAATGCGGATAGGCATCCGGAATGTGAATCCGGAACATTACGGATCCTCAGGAACATTCCGGAGTTCCGGAGCCGACCGGAAGGTCCGGGATCCGGGGCCCGGATTCGTTCCGGGGTCCGGGATCTGGGGCCCGGATTCGTTCCGGGGTCCGGGATCCGGGGCCCGGATTCGTTCCGGGGTCCGGTCCGACGTAGCCATGCTAATTAGTCACTTTGTCTAACTACTAATCAACACTAATCGATCCAAGATTGCATCCTGTCAGTTATTGATACAGGATTTGCAATTGTTGGTTCAGGGCAGTGATGGGAAAATCGTGAAAGGGATTTCTGTTGAGTGTACTCTAAACTGACCCTGGCCCTCAAGCGGTCTGCTGAGACTGAGCACTCACTTGCTCAAACTAACCAACCTTTTCTCTCTAGGCAGGTGGCAGCAACTGAGTGAGTACTGCAGAGAAAACTCAATTACGGCTACTTCCTGTTTGTCTCTAATTATTTGTTTGTTTTTATTTTATCTGAATTGTAGGAAAACAAAATGCAAATGCTGGGAAGGGAGAAGTTTCTAAGGAAAAGCCTCCGATTCCACTTGACCCTTTAGAGGCTGAACTGTCGGCCCAGCCGGAGAAACTTCTGCAGCAAGTCCAAGCAGTTCAGTCCCTAAAGGCTGAGCTAAAGAAGAAAGAAGAAGAAGCTCAGAAAGAAGCCAAAAGAAAGTTGTTGATTGCATATGTGGAGAAGATCAAGACAAGTGGTAGTTTCAATCAGTACAACAAGGACATGGCTGAATTCATCCTTTGCAGGATGATATTCACCGTTCTTATTTTACTAACTGGGATGACCGGATTACCGGTCTGGAGAGCAGTCATTCAACTATTTTTTTCAAAAAGTTGGATGACATCTCTGCCAAACTGGACCAGATCTTTACTCATTTGAAGATCCCTACCACCCTGACCTTGCCTCCATCCCCTGGACCTTCTCAAGCAGGCCCTCGGCAACTCCCACAATCCAGACCCACATCCCCATCTTCTACACCCAAGTCAACAGCCGCTTCACAGCCCTCAATTTCATTTGATCAGCAGCGGCCCAAGCTGACCCCTCCACCCATGTTCTCTGGCGAGGACCCTAAGGTGGATGTTGCAGATTGGGTCACTGCACAAAGAACCTACCTGAGTGGGTTCAAATATGACGAGGATGTGAAAGTGTCAGCCACCCTTGCTCGTTCGGAGAGGACTGCACTGAAATGGTGCACCTCTACCTCCAACAAGCAAGGTATGGAGATGTCTGATTGGGCGCAGAGGTTGGGGGTGGCTGGATTTCTGCAGGCGCTGCAGGTCCGGTTTGCAGACAAGGAGCAGGCCAGAAAAGCAGCAGACCAAATTTGTCGTCTGGGCCAGAAAAAGTTTGATGGCTCCTTGTCCAAACTGTACTCCACCTTTGAGAGTCTGACATCGACTCCTGGGTTGGAGATAAGTGAGCAGGATCTGCTCATTCATTTCCTCAAGGCAGCGCCTGAGCAATTCCAGCTTGCCTTATTCTCTCAGGGCCACAAGGATTGGCGGTCCTTTGGCAGAGCAGCCCTGGACTTGGAGTCCAAACTCCATGTCCAAGAAGCACCTTCTGAAGGAAGGAAGGGACCCTCCTCAAAGGGGCGAAGAAGGAGGAAGGGTGCCCTGTTTGCTGCTGCAGCTTCCAGTTCAGATGATGATGCAGCATCTCAGGGTGGGACCCCTCCATCTGGGACTGCTTCCTCATCTGCTGCAGATCCTGTTGTTCTTGCCCTGGCTGATGCTTTGATGGGCATGGCAAGGGGTAAAACCCCAACTCAGAAAGCACCAACCAGCAGCAAGGGGAAAGGTAAGGGACGTGCCTCTTCCCCTAGTGCCCAGAGAGTACCTCTACCACGAGACGTCCGTTGGCCAACTGACCCCCTTGATCCTTCCACCCTCCCCTGGCATGAACTCAGGATCCAGGAGGGAGTATGGAGGAAGAGGAAGGACAAGGGTGTCTGCCTGAGATGCGAGGGGGACCACTATTTGAAGGATTGCCCCCATATGCCTCGCAGGCCTTCAGACTCGAACTTGAGAGGAGAGAGGTGTAGTCTGCAACTCCCTCCACCTATGCTGATTCATCGTCTGATGAAGTTGAATCTTCACCCTCTCTAGCTGGTTCATTTAGGAGTTGCAACATCAGGGTCCTTCACGTATGAGGACACTGATTTGTAGCAGATTTAGGGATGGCACAAGTAAGGGTCGCAGCCCCTTTTACTTGTGACTAGACTTCTCAAAGGAGATGTTTCCTACTTCCCTGGACAAGCGTATTTGTGTTGCGCTGTCATAACTTGCTGATGCAAGTTTTGGCCATATTCAACGTCCTGGCTAGTGTTAGCTGCTGATTTGGCAAGTTTCCCTCGTTTGACGCTGATTGGTGTGAACCATTGCTCCAGGCTTTCAGCATCCTGCCCCTGACTCCTTGTCTGTTAGACAAGTTGAGTCCTAGCATGACTGTCACTGACAGCCTGGGTGTTTATGTCTTCATGCTCCACCGTGTTGAGGTTGCTTGTTTTGCCCGCAATCTCCTATTGCAGTCCTTCAGTCTAGAATGATAATTGTAGTTGAGAGCTATGGGCTCCACTATATCACTCTACTGATCGATTGCACTTGGTTCCATGTCTACTAGGGGTAAATACCCGGACCGACGACTATAGCTCAACGTCTAGGTAGCTCAACTTTTCAGCATGGTCGATTGCACTATAGTCGGGTGTCGAGTTTTACTGTGGTCATTTGACGCAATCGAGACCAGCTGACACTCTGAGTTCTCCTTCTCCTGACATCATTGTTTATAGTGCAGGTCAAGAGTATAGGAGACCGGATTGCAACAGGGCGTCGCCTACAGAACCTCAACTTTTCAGAAGTAGTCGATTGTCGCGACCGGATTGCAACAGGGCGTCGCCTACGGTACCTCAACTTTTCAGAAGTAGTCGATTGCGCGACAATCAAGGACCAGGTCCTACCGTGGTTTCTTGATGCAGTCGAGACCAGCTGACACTTTCATCTGCTGGTTCATTACCAGGAAATGAAATATGGGCGCGAAGGTCCACTCTCCCCGAGGGGGGGGTAAGTATGTAATGAAGCCTGCAGATTCTCAGTGGACTGTACATTGGGGCTTGCCTCGGTCGGCTCGCGTCTTAGGTTAGATTCCTAATTTTGTTCGGTTGAGGGCTAACCGAGAGACCTGCCTGTAAGGAAATTCGTGAGGGACACATTTGTAAATTCGGGAAAATATAAAGCCCTTACTAACAGAATTCCCTACACCTACCCTAACTCCGAATAGCACGTTCGGGCTACCTCTAGGATAGACAGGCCCTAAGGGCCTAAGCTGATAGACGGTTCTATAGCCCATAGCCGGGTTGGGAGAGGCCCTAGGGACAAAACAAAATCGGTACCGGTCGGTCAATCAGTCTGGTTTAGGTCGAGTCTAGGCTACTTTAGACTATAGATAGGATGGCACATCGGTTCAGGGCTTTTGGCAGTTAGTACCGAGTACATCGCTGCTGCGCTACGCGTGAACCGGAAGTGGTGACGGCTAAGCGTGGCAGGAGACAGGCATAGCCAGACCTTCGGAGCACCGACCATAGCTGGGACTTGCGCTGTACTCTGCCAGCACGCGGGGCTGTCAGAGGTCTGGGTTATCGACGTCTGCTAGAGGCGAGAGAAGTTGGTGCCCTGCTGGACCCTCCTCCGGAGTGGGGTTCCAGGGTTGTGGCACTGCAGCCATAGCTGCAGCTTCTTCCTCAGAGGTCATCTTGTCAAGAGTTGGTGGCGTTGCTGCAGACTTCCATCCAGGAAGTCTTCCGACACGTCGTCATCATCAGATACTGTGGTGCTGGTATTCTTTTTCATCCTCTGAGTGGCGCTTGGCCTCAGAGGCCTGTTTCAAGGTGGCGCTTCCCTGTGGACGCTGTATCTGGGTGGCGCTTGATGTTTCAAGGGCTCAGGGGTGTCACGGGTGGTTACTCGGGGTTGGGGAGTGAAGTGCTGCTCATTTCCAAGCAGCGCACTGTAGTACTGAGGTTATCCTGCTAATTCGAGACTCTGAGTTTAATAAACAGTGTAATACTAGGTTTGGACTATCATCGTTTCATCGTTTCCTGGATGTGATCTACTCGGCTTTTCTTTATGACTGGTTGTGAGGATTGAGTGGAGTGAATTGCACTTTCAGTGTACCCTGTCATATCGCATGGTCAGGTCTTCCGTTGTGTTTCTCTCTCCCTGTGCGGTGCGATACTCCTATCCTCTCCCCTTCCTTCTGTGTATGTATGGGCATACCTGGAAGTATATGTGTGTGAGTGTTGGTCTCAGACAACAAACAACCAGAATCATAACACTTCACTGCATCAGCAGACTATGAGAGAGCGGGCTTGGTGACATTTGGATCCAGACTCGACATTGGGCTTCAGACATTTTGACGAGGGATTATTTGGGACTTGTAACAAAGACTCGGTGTTGACGACATTCCCATCTCTCCCCCTCTTCTTTGTCTGTTCCCCTCCTCTTCGTCTGTGCATTATCTGGACCTGGCGCATTCTTCCTGTGTGTAGTGCCAGGCCCCTTCAAACCTTGTGATGAGGATGATGTATGTTTGGCCTGCGTTGCAACATTGATTGGGCTAGTCATTGGTATTCTAGCATTCTGCTGCGCTGTCTTGCACTGCATGATAGAGGTCAGTCCCGGTCAGGTCAGGACTTGTATCTAAGTCTTCCCCTACGCTATAAAGCACCATTTTTGTATGTATCAGAATGTACACTGCTTGTTGAGATTTCACTTGCACTGCATTGTCCATTCAGTCCTTTTTATCACATTGCGGATCCTCGGTTATTTATGTACATCGCCCAACTGGGCATGTAACATTAGTGAGTGTGCATGCATGTAGGAAGAGAAGACACAGTGATGACATAGCTAGAGAGAAGACCAGTGAGAGAGAGAGAAAGACAGAGAGAGAAGAAGAGCTGGAAAGAGATACTTACCTGAGAGCTGACACTGGTTACAGGTTACCTTTGTATGCGTTGACGAGTGCTGGTGACTTGAACTCTTATTGCTCTTGTGATAATTTGTTGGACGATATAAGCTGCGCTATCTGGTTTTCGACTCTCTGGCACCCAGTGTGGAAATTTGTGTCATCTCACTTGTGCTTGATGCATGTCTATGTATGTACTCATCAGTGATGAACTGTGCGGTTCATAGCATCTGCTGTTTTCTGAGAAAAAATATGACATTTTGATCTGATTGTTGAGAATTCCTACTCTGACTCTTTTTTAGTCTCTTTGCTGTGTTATCGGAATATGCATGTAATCAGCCGTCCTTGTATGTATCTTGCGTGCTTGCCTGTTGAGCACTCTCTCTCTCTCTCTCTCTCTCTCTCTCTCTCTCTCTCTCTCTCTCTCTCTCTCTCTCTCTCTGAGTGCCAGTGTACTTTGCTATACTCTTTGAGAATGGGAAGCAATGATTTGAAGCATCCTGTTTTTGCAGGGATACAGTGACCGGGAGACAGAGAAAGAGTAACAAAGTGACAAAGTGAATGAGTGGACAGATTTGACAGTGTGAAGTAGTGATATTGTCAGAGTGGTAGCGAGTGACAATGCCGGTGAGTGATAGTGATTGCGAGTGACCATGACAGTGAGTGACTATGTGTTACATCCTATGCCTGCACACGGGCCCCGTTTCAGGGGCCCGACAGTTGCTTGGGGGGCCCAGGCCACACGCCCTTTCAGGCATGCGCCCTGGAGGCCCACTGCTAGCCGTAAGGGCCGCAGGATTCGATTTGGGGCAGCATTAATTTTATTTATTTATTTGCTGTCCTATTTTTGTCTGTTCAGGCGTCGTTTCGGACTTGCAATGACCGGACAGACTTTCAGTCTGTTCGGACCTAGGCCACATTCTGGGCCTCCTTCGCGACTGGGCCCTTTGAGGCCAGGTTCAGTTTCATCCGCTAGCAGGACGTTCCCTGCTGCATCAGCAGGAAAGTCTGGACGCCCCGTAGGGACCCAGACAGTGTGGGCCGTTTCAGGTCAGGGTCAGGGGCACACCGGTGAGGCCCAGTGCTATACATAGCTGGGCCAGGCCAGGGCTCACACACAGTTCGAGTAGCTCACTTCTTGGGCAACACGCTGCTGGAGCAGCGCGAAACGGCGCTGCGCTAGAGGTAGAGGCGTAGGTAGGAGGTGAGGCGGAGGCCATACCTGCAGCGGCCGTACTTACCTGGGCGCCATAGCTGTGCTCCAGCGACCTGCACAGGGACACCGACGGCGGTTAGTACATGGTGGCAGCTACCTGCAGGTGATACAGCTAGGAGGATGACATCTTCTCCTTCTTCGTCTCGCCCTCCATCTCTTCTTCCTCCTTCCTCCTCTTCTTCTTCTTCTTCTTCTTCTTCTTCTTCTTCTTCTTCTTCTTCACACACAGAGAGAGAGAGAGAGAGAGAGAGAGAGAGAGAGAGAGAGAGAGAGAGAGAGAGAGAGAGGTTACTAGCAGAGGTTAAAATGGGCCATGAGGCCCAGGATCTGATTCGACATTTTGTGGCATACATTGATTGGACATTCTGCAGGGAGACTATTTTTGGACTTCGCTATCGCAATCTTGGTCTTCTTCTTCACCTCTATCTTCGTCTCGCCTCTCCCCCATCTCCTCATCCGTGGTATCTCCCCATGTGCGTGCTCAAGGAGGGACCTTTCTTCCCCATGTATGCCGTCCCTCCCCTCTCTCTCACATGTGTCGTGTATGATGGGGTGTCGCGTCAGTATCTGACAGGTCAGGTCATATCTTTGCTTCTTCCGTTGCACTATATTATGCTATTTTCGTATGTATCTGGATGCACATTGCTTGTTGATGCTTTGCTGACGATGCATTGTCCATTCGAGTCCATTTTCATCACTTTGTGGATCCTTGGCTCCATATGCATCGCTCGACTGAGCATGTATGACTATGACAGTGAGTGACAGTGAGTGACAGCGATTCACTCCAAGCCACCCGAGCAACACCAAGCTACACCAGACCGAGCAATAATGAGTCACATTAAGCAACAGTGGTAAACGACTTAAGAACAAATGTGTTGCACATGGTAAGCTACATCCTATGAGTTGGTGAAACTTCAGTGAAAGTCTGGCCGAACTCTCTGTGATAGACACTTTTTTGTTGGAGTTGTGTTTAGCAAATATCCAACACACACATGTGTGTGTTGTCATATTCACTATACACTCAAAAAAAGCATGACTGTGCCGAACAGACTGTTTCGTCGGACTTTCATCAACTCATCAGCAGGTTGAACCCCGACAGTCTGCCCAGGATGCATTTGACTGATGGATAAGGACTCACCACATCGCCCAGAGTTAGCGATAACCCTCTGAGAGAAAAGTGGTCGACTTTACTCACACCAACCCTGCAATCCTAGCAGACTGTCGGTCCACACCCCTGACAAGAACGGCAGCAAATCTGAGAAACTAATCTGACACAGTCATAAAACCCACTCTACGCACCCACCAGTGTGTGTTTGTGCCGCCATGTAAAATTTCATCACAACATCCCCTGTTCCACCTAAATGAGTAAAGGTCACATGTGTGTGTGTGTGTGTCTGTGTGTGCATGTGTGTGGACCAGTATGTTCCAATGGCTATGTTCGTCTCTGCATGAAATAGGAAGTGGGGGCCAGAAGAGGAAAGTCTGCGAAAGAAACTTGATGTTGTGGCTAGCTGCACTACTCGCCAAATGCGGATATGTCTAGTGCATTCTTCTGTTCAAAATGAGAACCACCGGTCGTCATTGCTCACCAACTTCCACGTTTGGCGCGTGGCTTAGAGAGTCCCATTCTCTCTGTGTTTTTCTGCGTCTGGGTCTCACTCTTCTCGGGCCGGAATAAGAACCATTATATGGTTGACAAGGGTACCTGTTGTGGCTTCGCTCGCAAGGGATTGAGGGGGAAATGGGAGAAATGAGTCGGGGTGGTGGGTTCGGGGCGTTTTGGGGGTGGTGGTTGGGGGTGTTTTTAGACTCACCGTCCCATGGGGGGTTGTGCCCTAACAGCTATGGCAATGTGTGTGCAGCACCTCCTGCTAGTTGGAGAGGTTCTGCAACAGCTGGCTTTGGAAATCGGAG